CCCTGCCGGATACGACACCAACGAAGCCGCAAGCTTCCAGCCGAGCTCTTCATTGCCGAAAGTGCAAGTTCTCTTGCTATGCTATGCACGTCTGATGGAGCCGCTCGCCTTCTTCTCTATCTTCCCTTACGTGGCCGAGATGGTCCAGCGGAACGGCAACCTGGCGGAATCTGACGTCGGTTTCTACAGTGGCCTGGTCGAGGCGGCCTTCTCAGCGGCGCAAGCTGTGACCCTGCTGCTCTGGGGCACACTAGCCGATCGTTTCGGGCGCAGACCGATGCTCCTGTACAGCCTCGCCGGCATGGCAACCGGCACGGCACTGTTCGGCACGGCTTCGGAGATATCGCACATGATGCTCCTCCGAAGCCTCACAGGTCTATTCTCGGGCACCCCCCCCCCCCCCCCCCCCCACAGGCCCAGGGCCAGGGATGGCTGGAACCAGTATCTCAACTGGTGTCTCAGGCCATAACCGACCATCCAACTGCCCCTGTTGACAATGAACCCTCAGTCAACGATGCAGACACTGGAGAGGGCACTCAGAGCCAATCTGGCAGCACTCTTGAGGACCACCCGCAGGGAACCAACCTCATGGGCCTCGACACTAATGACAATCATGGAAGCTCAGAAGCAGACATGCTGCGCCGCATTCAACAACTCACGGAGGAGCCCACGATGGAAGGCTCAACCGACAGTCATTATATCCCCATTGCAGAATTGGTCAAGGTTCATGACGGACAGGTTCACCCTTACCGGCCAAGTCAACCCGGACACACTGACACGACGCTAAGGGGACGGCGAGGGACGGCGAGGGGCAGCAAGGGACGGCGGCGTCCGTCACTGAGAAGAGCAGAGGGCAGTGTCCGTCACCAGAAGCTGGGGTCATGGCGATCTGTCACATCTGGCCTGACATATCCATGATCAGGCTGTCATGTTCGTGATCAGGGGTGTGCAAAGGGCATGTTTGACAGAAGATGCGTCGGGATCACCGGGGCAGGCAACGAATACTGTACCTGGACAGTCAAGGCACGAAGATCTGAGGAGAGCATCTTGAGCATCAAGGCGGCGGACGATGGAAACTTCCGTACCTACTATGTCTACTATGAACGCTAGCCAGGTAAAGACAGCGACCCTTGGCCCTGTCAAAGCGCGCTGCAGCAATCGTCGAGGCGGGCCCGACGTACCCATGTCTCTCCATCGCCGCCTTCTTCCATCCATCATCTCTGTCTCTCTGTCTGGTCTCAGGTCGGTCCAGAGCTAAGCCGCTATTTTGGGAAGGCTTCATCCTCTTCTAGGCCGCCATTCGCTGGGGTTCTGCACCGGCAGTCCTTCCTGGTGGGACGCGCGAACTCAACCTCTGTTCTCTGGCTCTGGCTCTGGCGCACTCCCTCCGGCGCACTTCCTCTGGTGACAACTTGCTTGACGTGCTAACCAGCGAATCCTCCTGCACGGATTCTCCTCTGCCATCACTTTTCTTCTTCTTCTCCTTGGCGTCACAAAAGCCTTGGCCAGCAACCTCCACGCCAGGCCATCCGATCTGCTCCATTCCGAACCACGAGATGCTGCGACAGCGTATACCTCAAACAGACCGCAGCTCGATCTCAGCAGGCTCAGCATCCTGTCCCACACTCGCCGCCAACCATCTACGCTGCCACACCCTCCGCGACCTCGGGTACTGCGAAACATCCCATTGTCCCTCCGTCCTGATCTAGGTCACACAACACGACTGTACTGGCTGCATCGTACTGTATCCGAACATCGACTGCCGAAGGTACCTGCTGTTGAGCCAAGATCCGCCCAAAGTCACGGTAGCATCAGGTCGGGTCACACAGCGTCCAGAGAAGAGCTAAGGTGGTATCGTAAACAACCTTCCATCGGGCACTTGACCCCAAGTCGACCAAGCCCGATCAGATCTCCCACAACCCCGGCCGAGGCAACGCTTGGCATCTCGACACCTCCACCCCTGTTTCGTCCCGTCCTGACCTGATCCTGGCCTGGCGTGAGCCTGGGCCTGCCCTTTCTCGTTTCAACCCCTTCGCACTCACGCCCCCGTCCTCATCCTTCATCCTTATCCTTATTCTCATCCGTCATTGTCCTTCCACTATCAACGCAAGGCAACTCCGTCACACTATCAACTTGATACCATATTCAAACCATTTCGAACTATTCTCATTGACACATTTGCTGTCCAGCTGTACGACAACCCACTAGTTCACTAACAAGGGCGGGAACCACTTGCCATCTTCGACTCTTTCACGTCAGCCGTCACCAACGACCCTTTTCATAGTCGCCATGGTGTACTGCGGCAAGCCTTCGAGGGGCTGCCAGATGTGCAGGACGAGGAGAATCAAGGTAAAGTGTCAACGAACCACCATGGCGACATAGCCCCTCCCATATCTAACCATTTCCAGTGTGACGAGACAAAGCCCACATGCAACCAGTGCACCAAGTCGCGCCGCCAATGTCCTGGCTACAAAGACGAATTCGATCTTGTCTTCCGCAACGAGACCAAGGCAACCGAGAGGAGGGCGCAGAAGGCCAACCGCAAGGCCCTCGGCAAGGGCAAAGATGTCGAGCCCCCGGCGCAACCCCAGGTCCAGGTCACCAAGAGCGCGTCTTCTTCGCCTGCCAGCCAAGACGGCTTCTCCATCGTCATACCCATGCTCGACGTGCCCGTCGAGCAAATGGCATCGTGCCACTTTGTGTCTAATTATGTCTTGATCCCGCGCCAGGGCAGCACCAGAGGCTTCCACGAGTACCTGCTGCCGCTTCTCAAGTCGGAAATGCCCAGCAGCCACCTGCACCACGCGTTCAACGCCTGCGCGTTGGCGTCACTAGGGAACAGGCCGAACGCTTCTGCGACGAAACTCAACGCAAAGGCCCTCGGCCACTACACAAAGGCACTGGCTGCCACGCACATCGCTCTCCAGCACCCCGAGCAGGGCAAGTCGGACGCCACGCTCGCCTCCGTCCTCATGCTCGGACTGTTCGAAAACATCACAGCCAGGCAAATGGGCATGTTCGCTTGGGGTTCACACATCGAAGGCGCCATCCAGCTCGTCAAAGCCCGCGGACGCAAGCAACTACGCACCAAGACGGGTTTCCTCCTTTTCGTTGCTGTGCGTACGCAGATGATTATTCACACACTGACCACTTGCACCGCCCCCATCATGGGCGTCGAGTGGTGGTTGAGCGATGCTGTCAAGGACGAGGCCGCTGCCATATCACAACGCTTCGCCATCAAGACGGCCGAACTGAGAGCCGAAGCCACGCGCCTCATGTCCACCATGGCTCGCTGCCCTGAGAACATTGACATCATGCTGGACATGATTCGGCGTGCCCAAACGGTCGATCAAGAGGCCATGAACTGGCTGCAAAACCTACCGGAGCACTTTAGGTTCAAGACGGTGGCTTGGGAGGACCACGTGCCTCATGGCGACTATGAGAAGGCTGAAGTGTTCCCTGGGCGCGTGGATATCTATCAAGATTTCTGGATCGCCAGTGTCCTGAACATGGCCCGCGTCTGCCGCCTCATTCTCGCGTCGGTCATTGTTCGTTGCGCGGCCTGGGTGTGCAGCCCAGTTGACTACCGCACGACACCAGAATATGCTTCGGCCGCACGGACGTGCGTCGACACCATTACCGACATTGTTGCATCGGTGCCATATCAGCTCGGCTGGCACTTGAAGCGTCCCGAAGTGATGGAGCGCGCGAACCTCTCCGGGTTTGCCTGCGGTGTAGAGGACGCGCTGAAGGGCTTGCCCGGCTACTTCCTGACGTGGCCCCTTGCCATCCTGCACGGCCAGGACTACACGACCGATGCGCAGCGGTCCTGGATCGTGGGACGACTCAAAGTTCATCGGCGACGAGCTCGGCGTGAAATATGCCCCACTTGCTCTCTCAGGTACCGCTAGACCCCAGGCCCGATTGAGATGACGTGGGGAAAGCTAACAAAGGGTCAGATTCAAATCCGCATCCCATCCATGCTCATCCGCCGCGACGGTCTCATGGCCAATCCGTACCCCAACTCGCACAACTTTGAAAAGATGCTCTCGGCTCGCCTGCTGTCGGCCCGCGAAGCACCCGCCCTCGGCAGGCTACGAGATGAATCCCCTCCAGCAGCGCGAGGCCATGCAGCGCGAACAGGCTGAGAAGAAGAAGGCCGAACTGTTGGCCAAGGCCACCGGCACAGCGGGACAGTCGGGGCAGTGGGTGGCGCAAAATTGGCTGAGGGTATAGTCCCGGATTTCCCTCTTGACCTCCCTTTTGTACATGACTGCCGCGCGTGAGCTGTTTGTGTTGACCCGTCTCTCAGATGCCACCCCCAAGTGTCGGATGACCGAGGACGAGTTGCTGCGCAGGGTGTTGGATTCAGTGAAGCGAAATGGGTAGCGACATGGCCCAGCGTAATTACCATGAACGCCATTTTGGCACCAGAACGGATGTTTGGGTTTGGGGTTGATGGGAGTACATGGCGGTGATGTGATGACTGTGACGGTCGAACTGGAGATTTGTATTGGGACGACGAAAGATCTACACGATCACGGCATGCGGGTTGCACGGGCATGAGAGCATCAGTCTTTCCAATGCATGAGAGATGCAGTATTTCAGACCAGCTAGTTGGCCGACCTTTGGTCGTCAAGTCCCACGCAAGATGGGCGCCACGGGAAACAAAAGCCGTCCTGGCTTGTCTATGTACCTACAGAGGGGTAGCAAGCAGTCTGCGCGCGGGGCTACCAGTCGACGCCGGGTTCCGATTCGTGATTCAAGCAAGTCATGGCGTCGTGGGGCCTCATCGGCCTGTATGGTGTTTCTGCCGTTCTGTGACGGCCTTTGGGGTCATGCACCCTGCTGCGGTATCAAGTATCGCCTCGCGATGTGCCATGTGTGCCCAGGTAAGGAGAGGCAGTGTGCGGAGGGGCTCACTTCTTCTTGCCCGACTTGTCCTCGATCTTGCCGCCGCCGAGGTTCCACGCCTTGACGACCCAGCTCTGGGTCTGGTCGACGTACTTTTCGTTGGCGACGTGCTTGACGCCGACGCGGACGCCGTCCTTGGTGAAGACGACGTTCTTCTTGCCCATGCGCTCCGAGGCGGCGCCCTGGATCTTGACGACGGAGAGGTAGACCTGCCAGCAGACCCAGGCGAGGGCGCCGAGGACGAGGAGGGTGATGATGAGGGGGATGAGCTGTCTGTGTTTGTTAGCTCTTCTTCTTTCCTTTTTGTTCTTCTTCTTCTTCTTGTCTTTCTTCTTCTTGTCCGTCTGCCTCGGTTGAGGTCTCGCGCCGCAGCTGGGATGCTTACCCTAGTCGAGACATGGTTGCGACGTCGAGGTGGAATCCGCGTGCCGTGGTCTTGTCTGGCGTTGGAATGTCGAGGAGGAGAATCGCGAATGGCAGACGGGGTCGGAGCCAAGAAGTAAAGAGGGCGGGGCTTGATGAAGAAGACAAGAAACCGTCGGCGAAGCTTCAGCTTCAGGGGTCGTCAAAAAGCAGTCTCGCGGGCAATGCAAGAAGAAAGAGTTCCTTTCCCGAGGGTGGTGTCCCTTCCAGAATTTAAGAAAGAAGAAAAAAACAGACGTGCAGGGAAGAAAAAGTCGAGTCAAGATGGGATGTCGGGGGTCCAGAAGTTTTCCCAAGCTGGCGGCGATGGGGGGGGGGGGGGGTCAGGGGTCAGGTCCCTGGGCGAGGACGGGCACGTAGAGAAAAAGAGCCTTGGCGCTAAAACCGGGAACGGCGACCTCGCGCAGGCAAATCAAGGCCCTTTCTTTGCGCGGGAGGGGGGGGGGCGCAAGGGGGGCAGCGGGCAGCGGGCAGCGGGGAGCGGCGGATCGGTAGTTTTGGAATGGCGAGACGGGGGCGATGGGCCTGGCAAGCCTGGGTAGAGGTAGCAGCCGTAGGTAGCACTGTAGCACTGTAGCAGGCAGTAAAATAAGGGGGACCACGGCGGGGTACGTCAGTTCGTATCGCTGGGGCTGGTGTCTGGAAAGGTCCAGGTGCGGGCAGACAAGCGCAGCAGGCAGACAAGCAGAAGACAGCGGGAAAAACGACAGCGGCAGCAGCTCTACTTGTAACCGACCGGCTCAAGAGTCATGCTGGAGGGCTCCAATGCGGGAAGGATCTGGTGATGGTGCACTGCACATTTGCGCTGCACAGCACAGCACAGTACGAGCGAACACTTGATTCAGCGCATCGTGCCACCGATGCTCAGCAGGTGTCGATCATTGGCCGCCGCACGCAGAGCACTCGACCCTGAGGCATGGTCCGTGCGCATGCGGTTCCGGACAGGAATGACATGGGGAAGTCTCGCGTCAGGTACGACAGACCAGCAGCGGGAAGACGTTGATCCATCCCAGCAGTGTGCATCCGTCATCTGCCGCCTCACACTGGACTTGGACTGTGCGTTTCGCCTGCGCCACAGCATTCGAGCTTCTTGCTTGGGGACAACCACGACACGATGGATGCTGCGTGTCATGGGGGGGATTCTGTGTCGAGCTCTTGAAAACCTGTCCTCTAGCGTCTGTATCGTGCTCCTCGTACTTCCTCTACCAGCACCGAACCATGTGCCTGCTTTGTGTCCAGCCTTGCCAGCCTTGCCAGCCTTGCCACTACTGCCTCGACTGACCCGTGGCTGAGCCCCACAGCAGCCACCTGGCGAAAGGCCACACATCCAACCCAAGCTCCCACCGAGTCGGTCGGCTGGTCTTGTCGCCTGCGTCCAACTTCAAAGCTCCCTCTCGAGAGCTTCCTTTCCCCCATCTCCATCCCACCTCGACAACAGCATCACCAGAACCTCGCCCTCCTCCTATTCCCTCTCCTCCCCCCGCAGCTCTTCCTCGAGGAGCGGAGCGACACCCTCCGCACACGTCGACTCTTCTCACCAAAGCGGCGTCTCTTTCCCACTCGCCCAACCCCCCCCCCCCCCCCCCCCCTTTTGTCCCCCTTTTTTTGGGGGGTCCTTTTTATTTCCGCACCCCCCAGAAGGTTTTCGGGCCAAGACGCCCCCAAACCGGGTGAAACCAAAGAAGGGTTTTTAAAAGCCATACCCGGGGGGGCCCTCCCCCGTCCAAGCAGCCCAAATTGGCCAAAAAAAAAAAGGGAGGAAACCCCCCCCCCAGGCCCTAAGAGGTTGGGGGGGG